TTTTGAACGAGCAGTGGAACGGCGGTCGCAACGGTTCCGGTAACGGCGAACGAACAGGGATCTATCACAACTGGCCAATCGGAAGCCAGCCGAGTGACGAGCTATGAAACGAAACGCCAAGCTTAAGCACGCAAAAGGATCGCCCAAGGCAAAGAAAAAAAAACTTTTCACTTTCTCGCTCTCTCTCACTCCCCTAACTATCGCATGCTCTTCTAACTAACTAACGGCGAACATAGGAGACTATATCAACCACGGGCGACGCCCGACAAACCACAGTCTCCCCTCACCCCCCCTCAGGTGAGTCCTCCGCTTCCCTCTCTCAGGCAAACACGCAAACTAACAAAGGGAAGACAAACTCACGCCTCCCCCCGCCACCAGGTAAGTCCCCGTATCCTGCGAGCAAACAAGAAAGAACTAACAAAGGAAAGACAAACTTGCGCTTCCGCCGTGCGCTATTCCGCGGTGCTTTCCCGCCGCGCCTTTCCTGCGCTCCTCCTGCGGTCCTCCACCGCGCGCTCTTCCAGCGCTCTTCCTGCGCTCTTCCTGCGGTTCTCCACCGCGCTCTCTCCCGTGCGCTATCCCAGCACTCTCCCTGCGGTCCTTCACCGCGCGCTCTTCCGGCGCTCTTCCAGCGGTCTTCCACCGCACTCTCTTGCGCTCTGCCGTGCGCTTCCGAAGCGCTCTTCCAAAGAACTGACAAACAAGCAAACAAGAAAACCAAAGGGAAGGAAAGGGAATGGGGGGTAGGAGGAAATGGGGAATGGGGAGAAGGGGGAAGGTACCGGGCAGGTGTGGGGAGCAGCTTGGATTTCCAACAGTATAGTAGAATATCCTCAGCGATCCAGAAAATCCAAATGGGCGCGAAGAAAATAATGTTTATAAAAAAAAAAGGAGAAAAAACCCCCCTATGGAGAAAGTGACCTGCCCAACCAAGCGAAAATCCTTCCCGACAGGATAGAATAAGGACGCCCATAAACACTGTTAAGATCTCCAATGCCACAGATTACCAAGTAGTGTACACAAAAATGACCAGATTAACCGAATAAAAAAAGTGGCTTCTTCTCCCCCCGACCACAATTCAGTGCCGCTTCCTTGCAAATCCACCTCAAAATCCCGAGCAAAATCGCATTGCGAAAATATACCCGTTTCTGCGTGCATCATCTCGGTTCCTTCACCTACAACTCCAGTCATTCATGATGTCCGCCCTCCGGCAAGTTCTGGGTGGTCCAGCTATCGGTGCGATCGTTTTGGTAATTTTAGTGATTTTTAGTACATACTATGCTTAACGATCACGGTTGATAAGCCCTTTTTCCTTTTTTTTTTTCCTACCCTTTTCAAAAATACTGACAAAGGTCACAAGTCTGGAAGCCACAGATGATAGAAGTCACAGTGCTGAAGCTAAAACATATCTTCCTACCCAGGAAGAGAAAAAACTAGTCTAACGTAGTTGGGCCGATACTGGGTATATCTCCACCACTTGTCATAGTGTGCATACTAGCGCTCAGGTAGATACGCCCCCCCTCCTCCCTACTTTGTTCTGCGGAAAAATCCCCACCTTTATATCTACTAGTTACTAGTGCTCATATATATCATACAGCAGCTACCTCAGAATGCACAAGCTCCGAGACCCTTACGATCAATCGATACATTCCGCTGAACGAGACCCAGTGGCGTACCTATTTGTTCCCTCTGCCCCTCTGGCCATCCTGGAAAGTACCATACTTGGTGGCCTGTGGGATCAGAGACTTTAGCCATTATATACAAAAAGGTACTAGTGCTCGATTTGTCCAACATTCGCCGGCATGTATACATTCATCCCCCGATCCGCCCGGAGCGCTCACTAGTTTCTCCGGTCCAGCAAGGGACTCTACTAAGTCAACGCATCTCACGCTCCTCCACCTCCCCGTGTGCTCTAACGCGCCGCTGGGAAAGCAACTGTGGTACCGCTAGCCGGGACAGGACCGGAATTCCGACTCCCAGAAATTGACAATGGCAATCTCGCCGCAAGCACGCTTAACCGTACTCGAGTACCACGGACTACTTGTACTTATACGAGCACAGTCGGGTCATGAACACAGCTAGTTTACGTACTCGTACGATACCGGGGGGAGGACCTTTTCAAAACCCGGTATTACCAGCCCCGGCCCCACAAACACCAAGGTACAAGGAGAAAATAGCCCTGTCGGGGGGACAACCTCCAAAACTCCGAGGCGATAACGCGAACCACCCGGCAGCAAAAATCTCAAAAAAAAAACCCCCCATTACAGAGACGTCTCCGGGGTTCTGGGCGGCGGTTCGAACTCCGGCACGTTTAGCGCTCTCGGTGCGTTCTCCGTGGTGTCGCCATTAGACAATAGCACTAGCTCCGCTGAGTAGGTACCCGAGTACGAGGGCTCGATTCCGGATACCGGGTTGCGTATTCCCTATGTAGTTACCAGGCATGTTTTGTTCATTCCCGGCGTATTTGCCTCCGGTTACCATGTCCCGGGTCCGAAGGGGGGGGTGTTTACCTGCTGCGATTGTGGTTTTTGGGGCTAGTGAGAGGATCCCCTACCTAGAACCACTGTAGCTATGAATGTGGCCAGGTATCGTGGACAGGCCGAATGGTGGTGCACAGTACTGTACAAGGCATACGAATAGTAGTGATACGGATTATACTAGTGGGAGTGGTCTAGAGGTTGGCGGGGGTGAAGGAATCGCCTATCGTTATTGCGGCGCACACCAAGACAAGACGAAGGGAACGAGAAATACGGGTATCACACACTTTCCAATGACCTAGCACGCCCGACTCTATCACCAGTGCACCAGCCGCAACCACCGAAAAGTCCCACATGCGATTACTCGGGGAACATATTAAGGACGACTCAACCCTTTACGATACCCGTCTCTCCTACGCTCCTGGGTCCACTAGGCTCCTAGGGGTAACCGAGAGATCACCTTCTCACCGAATACGAGGTTAACGTGGAAACCCGCACCTTGAGCGCTTTATACGGCATTACACTATGCACGCACGTCACTATACCCTCGTCCCGTTCCTCAACGCTCCCGCTGGATCTGCAAGGGAAGCGGGCCAAGTATTCCTGCAATCCCTGGCCCCCGAGGATTGCCACGTGAACATCAGCTTGCAAACCAACTTCTATGGAGGAGGAGGCGAGGTGATTGGGGGGAATACTCAACGGGACGGGGTGGCTCATGGGAGTCTTGGGCTACCGGGGGCGTAGGAACTGTGAACCCCTGCAACAACCAAGAACAACCCCATCAATCCTCGCCCCCAACATAAACCCAGCAAGTGATCTCCGAAGCCCCCAACAACGAACCAAGAGGCCACAGCGCCCCAGACGGCACGGATACAAACCTCAGTCACCGCATCCGGGCCGCGCCTGCAAAGCGAAACCGAAGCGTACGGGTGGCAAGTTACTCCGGATACGCCATATCCGAATCTCGCAGAGGGCGACGATTCCATTCCCCCAGCCATCAAAATTACACCGACGCACGGGCGCCCCGGGCAACTGACCGGCGCGAACGCAGGATGAGCAAAATCCCAGCGCCCGTCTCGAGAGCTCCGCGCGAGCGTGCCTCGTGGTGTCCAATACGGGGGACCGGAGTTTCTGCGAGGAACTTGTGCAGCACGTACATCAAGGGCCGTGCGACGCTTGGAGCCTAGGTCTCTCGGATTGAGGCGAATTTCCAATTGGGGGGGGCTATATTGCACATTTTTTTTGCGCACCATTTGGATGTCGAGTTTGGTGGTGATGGTGGCGGTGATTGCGATGATGGCAATAGTGGTGGCACAGGACGATTGTGCCCGTGCCGGCCGCGCCAGAGGGTTGGTTCGGGAGTCGGGTCGTATAGGCTTCGGCAGGGTGGTACTATTAGCCTCTATATTGTGGTTTCCGGCAGTGTGAAGAAATTGGTGCTCAAAGGGCGGGGTCCCTCGGCTCCCAGATGGCGCCCCGGAGATGTCGCGGATATGATAGATACTGTACTGTACACAAGTAAACAAGTCATCACTAGTCACTCGCGTAACATCGCCACAGTGCCCTATTGGTTTAGAACTTCCTTCTATTAACACAAGCACTTAAAGTACTCTTAATTTGGAGTAAAAATCAAGTAAATTTTGCACCCGGCGGAAGAAAGCAGAGGGAACCAGGGTGCCAAGAGCAAAATAATAATGAAACATTAATCATAAGACCTCATACTGGCAACAGGAAAAGGTTATTAGTGAAAAAGTAGGTCACACGCCATCATACAAAGCAAACTCGGCTCCTATTCAACACCGTACAAAATCAAATAACCCCCGCAAACCGAAAAAGCAAAAGCTCAAGAAACAAAAAATGAATGGATGGATGGATGGATGGATGGAGGTGTGGCGGGAAATCAACTCCTCCGAACCATCTCCTCGAGGACATTTTTAAACTCCCCTCCAAGACCCCAAACTCTCATCCGCCCCAGAATCCCCACAACAACTCTGAGCACCTCCCTGGCCCCCATCTCGGAGCATATCTCAGTCATAGCATTCCCGGCATGTTGATCGCTACCAATCGTCGCCTTGCCTTTTCCTTTCTTGATCCAATCATCCACCCCTTTCCATGGTTGGGAGTCCAGTCGGACAACCTCCTCTTGAATCCCTCCCAAGGGTCCGGAAGGTAGAGGGCTAGGTGGTAGAGGTTCCCGGAAGTAGCGGCCGAAGCCCCAGAGGACCACACCTGCCATAAAAATACGCATGCCCTCGATTGGGGAGCAGACAGGTTTCCAGCGGGAGAGGGTTATAATTTGCGCGGCGTTCCATGCCAGGGTTCTAGCGTAGACAGGATCTGTTAGGAAAATAGTTTTCAGCCTGGCTATGCGTGGGTCTGCTGGTGCAGTGGTCGGCGAGGGCGGGCGTCGTGCAAGTGAGAGGATTAACGAAACGGTGGGGAAAGCTGCGTGGAGGTGAGTATAATGGGATATCAAGAGTGTCAAGCTGTCAACGTTAGCAATAGATCAGGGATAAAGAAGGAGTGGACAAACGTCATATGAGCTCCATCCCCATCAACTTCTCCGTCTCTCCATCCAGCCTCCATCTGTCTCTCCCTCACCCCCTCACATATAACCATTAAACTCTTTAATAACTTTTCCTTCGCCGGCTTCAATCCAGGGCTCAACATTGGTAACCCTAACCCTCCGTCATTTCCAATTGGACTGCTCCCACTTAATACACTTTCCTCAAGTTCCTTAAAATCCCAGAGGATTCTTCCAATAGCCTGCGCGCACAGCCTCCTGCCCCAGCTCGTCAAGTTCTCTGGTGACATTTTCCCAGAGATCACATCACGCAGAGTCGGATAGAATGGTGTTCCATTTTCTGCATCAGGGGGGAGGACTCCCGATTCCAGTAACGCCCCCCAGGCCTGTGCAGTAGGGGCTTGCCATAGGGCCTCTGCACATGGCATGCGTGTAGAAATATCGTTCAATGTTATAGCGCCTCGGCGATTGGATAAAGTCGAGAATGAGCAATCATATTCGAAGATGGACCACGCAAGGCGTCTCAATTTTTCCTTCATATACCACCGACGCCATTTAACCTCAATTTCTTCCTTCTCATTATGATTATCCTCATCGCGGGTAGTCTTGGGGTTAGGTGAGCCCGGCGTGGAACCGGGTGAGGAGGATGGTGGAGACACACGACCAGAGAATAGCCCAATCCGACGAGCGCTCCCGATTAGTGCGCTCCTAGATACATCTGCGCAATCGTAAAGGCGAAAGGACCCGGATCCCAAGGCGTAGACGTTTTGCAAGCACGAAGCCATGAGGAAGAAATCCGAATGGGGATACTCGGGGTTGTATTCAGCCTGCGCCATACAAGTCAATATTCCGTGTTGAGAACGGGAGAACATACATAATTACCATCCAAGCCAATGTCCTCTTGCAAAGCTCGCTCAGACTATCGGCAAACATCTTGGCACCCTCCAGATGACTATAACTCGCGCCAATACTAGCCATGGCCACCAGAACTATGGTGGGGAAAGTTCTGGCACTAAATGTTGGTTTGTGGATCATTGGGAGGATGGAGTGAAACTGCTCAAAGTAAATCTTGATGAAGGAATCAATCATTTCCTTGGATGGAAATCTGCTCATATCAGCGCTCTCATATGGAAACCTCTCCACCGGAATTGAGAGCAGAGAGACCATATCATTTAGTATCCCGTCATCGATCCAAGATTCACCCTTATTCGCATTAGCCGAAGAGTGAGCCTGGGTGACGGCTAGTGTCTGCGGAGTAAGTTCTTCCAGGATCTGTCTAAGAGGAGGCAGTGTGACTTTCCTTTCCAACTTCTCTCTCGATGACTGCCAACCCCACGGGAGAAAGTCCTCAACGGAATTATGGTCTTTTATCGGTCTAACTGCTGGCAGGCGTGTTTGGCGGTCATCGCGATGTCTGGCCTTGAGCATAGAGCCCTCATCCGAACATACCGAGACAGGAGACGCAACCCGCTTGCTGCTACCTGCCGCAGCTGTAACAGTGCGGTTGGGGGCAACCCCGGAAGCGGCGGAGTGGTTCAAATCTAAAAAGGTACAACTTCCGGCTTGCCCCTCCCGTTGCAAAGCAGCAGGCCAATCACCCCAGCCCCTAAGCCAATCAGTGCTTTTATCGAATATTTCGTGATCAAAGAACCAGTTCTCCTCAGGGTTCAGTCCGGATAGGCTCTCGCCGTATCCCGAGTCATGCCTATTAGTCGATGGATCGTCGTTGGTAACGGTCGTTGGATTCCGGGGTCCCAAGTGAGGGGGTTCACTTTCATGAGTTCGATCTGGAAGAAATGATGTTGGTGAGCCTATCGTCCTAGATGCCTCTAAACTACCATCGGGGAAAGCAATAGCATCCGTAGCCTTCTGAGTGCCTGGAGATTGGGGCCGTGGGACAGGTTTTATCCCCTGCAGAGTACTTGCAGCATGGATGTCTTCATCGACCATGGTTGCTAGCCCGCCCACGGCCGTTACCAGACTATCACTTAGAGAGCCTCCGATTCGAGAAGGTGAAGATAGAATGTCTCGTAAAGAGAGCGAGGGGAATGAGGTAGTCATGGGGGCTAAATAATTTGTGCTCTCACCATTGCCAGGGGTATTGAAATGCAGTGAACAAAAGTTTCCTGCCCTGCCCCTGAATAAATCGCCGCTGGGTGATAGACCCATTGTATTGTGACTCGTCGAGCTCGAGCGATCCCGGGAATGCGCAACAAACATCGGTTCCGCAACCAGAGGCGCCCCTTCCGGGGTTTGTACCCCGCTACTATTCATCGAATTGTCGGGGCCGGGGCCCGGCAATTGACCGTAAGTGTTTGTTGTCATTATCGACATTAGTTTGTCTGCCTCCGCTAATTCAGCTGTCTCGGTAGAATTGACAAGTTTCTGGAGACAGGCGGAGGGGGGAGGTGAGGCACCTAATGCATCCGGCCGCCTGCCAGGGCTTACACTCTTTGATGAAGAAGCAATGCGAGCTGCAGACAGCAGATGAGGGGATACCTGTGACACGATGGAGTAAGACCGGCCCCCTAGCGGTTTACCTGTTGAATCTGTTGTATAGCTACCAGTGTGCGTCCGTCTCCTCCTCTTGGGCCGGCCGGCGCTCCCGCCCGCTCCGGTGTCACTCCCAGAGCCAGATACTACCTCCTCAGACCCTAGTTCATCGCCATCACCGCCTCCGCCCTCTCTCCTCTCACTCCCAGATTCCTTATCCAAACTGCCCTCTGCTATTGTCCCAAAATCGTATATGCACACAGTACCCCGCTTCTTGCACGCTTCACACGGGTCATCAGCTCTTCCTCCTTCCCGGGTCCCATCCTTCGCTGTTCCCCTGCCGCCGCCCGTACACTTTATCTTGAACCCGGCGCACCGCCGGCAACTTCGTCGCCGGCTCTTCCGAACATCAGAGCGTTTAGTTTCATGAACAGCCCTAACGTGTCTAGTTAGGACATCTTTTCTCGTGAACCCTTTTGAGCAAGAAGGGCAGATAAACGTCTTGGAGGTGTTTGACGGAAGATGTGTAGTTAGGTGACGGTCGAGGTGCTCGCCCCGAGAGAAGGTGCGTGAACATGATGGACATGTATGAGTGGCCCTGCCAGAAGTCGCAGGTGCACTGGTCATTGTGGGCGAGGTTTCCGACACTACCCTGTTCGACGAGTAGAATGATGTTGGAGATGGCAACATAGAGTCCCCTCCAGAATCCGAGGAAGACGGAGAATGTGAAAGATGTAGTTGGACTGCAGGGTTTGCCATATCGTGGTGGGTGCAGATGCGTCACGCCGGCGTCGTAGCCGCTAAGAAGCCGCCCTCAAGATTGTATCGAGACTCTTCTTTAAAGAGGGAGAACGAAACCGCGATTCGATCAGTACAGCCCGAGCATCTTGTCATGTAGAAGGGAGGAATAGGATGTATTGGCTGGCTATACTCACGAGAAGCAGGGGCCGCTAACTGGCAAAGGAGGCACCAGTACCGGATATCCGCTGATACAACTTGAGTGGGTCTAACCAACACGCTTTCCCCGACACTATGATCGTCCAACATGAAGCGTAAGAAAAGCGGGGAGGAGAAGCAAGAGACTAATATACAAAAATTATTTGGGCCTCCCGACTATATGGTATACCCCGTGCTCCCCACCCCTCACGAACACCCGCTCCCTCGCGTCCGCCCACCTACCCCACGCAGGATCTCTCCGCGCGAGGCAATCCTCCCCCGAAGTTTAGACAGGGTTCCGCTGGAGTGGATGATCCTCTGGAAACCCCTGGACCCTTCCAAGATTTTAAGATTCCAACGAAGGGTGGACTAGAGTGCAAGAATAAAATAAAAAGGAACCCCGAGAGACATGCACTCTCAATCCGGCTCTAGGGTGGGTAGAATCCCAACAGCCTAGAGATAGCACTCCAGACACCTTCCCACTAACTCCTGCCAACGCTTCCGGTGCTCAACAGCACCTAAGGCCACAAACAAGCAAGTGTTCTGAAGCGCTGCAGAAGAGCGGGTTGGCCAGAATTTCCCAGAACCACGCTCTCCTCCCCACCAGCCCTCAATTGCAGCAAGTGCCGGATGGTGATCCTCAGATAGAGATGAAACCAGGCGAAATGGCGGGAGAATCTGAGGTAGGCGATATAGCGGGATAAGACCTATGTCACCATCAGCCCTTCTGTCCGGAAAACAGCCAAGTCCATTGAATGAACCTCAAAGTGGGAAACCGGTCAACAGTGTTGGTTTGGGGCGAGTTGGTTTACAGCGATACCGATCAAGCAGAGAGAGGTTATGGCGTGGATTCAGTGGTTAGAGAGTGCACCAGGAGGCCGGATTGAGGTAACAGCAAGGTATGGATGCAATGCAACCCGCTTCGCGCCCTTTTCGCCCGGACCAGTCGATACAAGCCAGAACTATCCAGGCCGTCCTTTCCGGGAGATGGCTCCTTATTAGTTTTGCGGGACGAACCAAAAGTAGGCTCTGGAGACGACAAAGTGAAACCGAAAAAAATGCCAAAATTCGGGTCGAAGGAGAGAGATAGAAGAGGGAAAGTAGTGTGGTCCCTCCGTGAATTAATTTGTTTTTCAATAAACTGGGAACTGCCGCCAGGCCAGACAGGTCTTCTCTCCGACAGCCGGGAAATTCTCCGCCTAGGATTCGATTACCTGTTAAACCCCCTCCCCCTGCTAGCGGTCTCTCACGGCTGATCAGGAGGCTCGTCCTACTCGAGTATAAACCTCTGCAGTATATTGCGGGGAGGGGCGCGGGGCAAGACGGACAGCGGCTGCGTGTACAAGTAGCGGTCACAAACAAGCAAATATAATGACCCACGTGGCTAGCTATTCATTCGCTACGGGCCTCGCTGAGAAGGAGGGCTGAGAATGAGTGACTCTATAAAAAAGAAATCCCTTCTTCTGATCTCCCGGATCTCTGTGGTGCCAAGGAGGGAGCGAAACCGGCTACGAAGGAAGCGGGTTGATGCGGTGAAGGGTGACGATTGGGAGGTTGAATGGATGAAAGAAGGGGAAAGGATGAGGGGGGGACAAGGAGAGGGAATTGGAAGGAGGGGGGGAATTCTGAAGATAACTGAAAAGGTAGGTATGATTTGGGGGGAGGGGGGGGTGCGGATGG